AAGAAAGAAAGAAAGAAAGAAAGAAAGAAAGAAAGAAAGAAAGAAAGGAAGGAAGGAAGGAAGGAAGGAAGGAAGGAAGGAAGGAAGGAAGGGAGGAAAGAAGAAGGAAATAAAAAAGAAAAAAGGGAAAAATAAAATAAAGTTACTAAAATAAAAAATTTAAAAATTATAAAAATTTAAAAATTATTAAAATTAAAATAATATAAAAATTATTTAAAAATGGAGAGACCAAACCCTGGGGAAAATGGTAAAAGCAAAGCTATACACACAAAATCACACAAAGAAGCATACACATACACACTCAGAAAAGGAGAAAAAGAAAAAAAATATAGATATTTATATATATAAGAAAAAGAAGAGAGAAACCAAATCAATAAATGAATCTACCACTGATAATAAACTTTTAATACTAAACTAAGATAAACGTAAAACCAGACACAAATTAGATGTAGAAAGTGAACCCCAAGTTTGCAGTTGCTCCCAAAGTCCGGCACTTCAATTTCGGGCTGATTCGTTGTCTATTCAGGTATTCCGTGTATGCAGGGTACATTAAGATGATTGTCGAGATTTAATCCACTGCTCCTGAGGCCGCTGGGAGAAAATTCCCTTTCTCTTCTTTGTTTGCACAGCTCCTGGGGTTCAGCTTTTAATTTGGCCCTGCCTCTGCGTGTATGTCGCCTGAGGGCATCTGTTCTTCGCTCAGACAGGAAGGGGCTAAAGTAGCAGTTGATTAGAAGGCTCTGGCTCACTCAGCCCAGCGGGAGAAGGAGGGGTATGAAATGCAGCGCGAGTCTGCAGCGGCAGAGGCTGGTGTGACATTGCAACAGCCTGAGGCATGCCATGTTTTCTCCCGTGGATGTTGTCCCTGGATCACGGGACCCTGGCAGTGGTGGGCTGCACAGTCTCCTGGGAGGGATTGTGGGGATAGTGACTGGTGCTTGCACACAGGCTTCTTGGTGGCTGCATCAGCAGCCTTAGCATTTCATGCTCATCTCTGGTGTCCATGCTGATAGGCGTGGCTCGCACGCAGCGCTGGAGTTTGTTTAGGCAGTGCTCTGAATCCTCTCTCCTCGTGCACCCTGAAACAATGGTCTCTAGCCTCTTAGGCAGTTCCAGACATTTTCCTGGACTCCCTCCTGGCTAGCTGTGCCGCACTAGCCCCCTTCAGGCTGTGTTCATGCAGCCAACACCAGTCCTCTCCCTGGGATCCGACCTCCGAATCCATAGCCTCAGCTCCCAGCCCCCACCCGCCCTGGCTGGTGAGCAGACAAGCCTCTCAGGCTGGTGCGTGCTGGTTGGCACTGATCCTCTGTGTGGGAATCTCTCCACTTTGCTCTCTGCACCCTTGCTGCTGTGCTCTCCTCCATGGCTCCAAAGCTTCCCCCGCCACACCCCGTCTCCACCAGTAAAGGAGTTTCCTAGTATGTGAAAACTTTTCCTCCTTCACTCCTCCCTCCCAGAGGTGTCGGTCCCATCCCTATTCTTTTGTCTCTGTTTTTTTCTGTTTTCTTCTGCCCTACCCAGGTACGTGGGGAATTTCTTTACTTTTGGGAAGTCTGAGGTCTTCTGCTAACATTCAGTAGGAGTTGTTTCACATGTAGATGTATTTCAAATGTATTTGTGGGGAGGAAGGTGATCTCCATGTCTTACTCCTTCGCCATCTTGAAGGTCTCCTGACTCTTCTTTTTCATTTGACAAATCAAACTGAAATTATTATGTAGATGCTTTTGATACCCACCCTGTTTATTCAAACATGTGGAGGAGGCAAGTGAGTGGCAGAGAGAGCAAAGCACTGCTTCATTTTCTTGATTTGCAAGGCTTGTCCACAGCTGCACCCACCAAGCTGGCAGGACTTCTTTCTGAATGTCCAACTGCTTGGGTAGGTGGAACATAGAAAAAACCTATACCAGGGAATCAGTGAGGTTGAGCCACCCAAGCCAATAGCCAACCAGCCATGGAATGGACATATCCTATTGCTTTCTGTGGGAGGCTCCCCAGCACTCATCTACCTTTAGCCTTACCGGGAGTTGGACTTCCCCCCAAGGCAGTCTTACTCTCTTGCTTAGATATGGACACTTTACTGCAGAAACAAGTCCCTGCAATATCATAAAGGGAAGCAACTGGGCTGTAGGAAGCAGAAGGCTGGAAGAGTATGTGGTGCAGCAGTGTAAAGAACATCCCCCAGGGAATCTGGAGACTAGATTCAAGTTTTAGTTTTGTCATTGACTTGCTGTTTGGCCTCAGTCAGGAATAGGCTTCTCAGACTTCCACCATCATTACAAGGTTTGCATGTGTGCACGTGTTGTGTGCGCACACACATGTGCATAAACATGGCCAGAGATGTTCTTTGGGGAGTTCCCTAAAAGACCTACTGACTCTGACATTTTAGAAATATTTAAGACTAGATATGGCACACTTGATCGAAACTTTGGTCCTGGCCTCTGAAATGTACCCATCAGGCCTTGCTAAAGAAAATGCTTCATAGAGGGCAAACCTTCTGAAGCTGGTCAGTTGCACAGTGACCTCAGAGTCTGAAAAGTTAACCACAAGGAATTTTTCTTCTTACTAACTTAAATAAAGAAGGACTTTGTCAAGCAGGGTTGTGTGGGCTTGGATGAGATTAGAGGACCAGTCAATCATGCTAACAAAGGAGGCAGAAAGTAACTGCCTCCTATTCGAAAGACTTTCCTTTGTTTCCCAACCCCCAACTATAGACAAACACAAATAAAATTCCTTCTGAGATGCTGAGTCTTTAAATCATAGTTCAGTGCTTTCATGTTAGGTGTTAGTGAAGCTCCCTGAACAGGCCAAAGAATTTTAAGCTATTCTTGGTCTCCCGTGGCCCCAGCTGCAGGGACTGGAGGCCAAGAGCCCATGGAGGAATTAGAAGGTCTTCCAGGTATTGGGAAGGGGAAAATTGTTTCAGGGAATAGAAAGACAACTGCTGCTGGGAACATCCTATTACAGAGAATCCCCACAGGGGTAGAGAAAAAGAGGCCTGCTAATCAGCCACAGTTTCAGAGTGCCTGAGAATTAGCGATCTTTCTAGAGGTCATTTGATCCAGCCCTCTTATCAGGAAACTATCCAAAGCAAACCAGACACAGGGGAAGGAGAATCCATGATTTCCTAATAAGTCTGTGCCAGTGCTGTTTTCTTCTTATGAGCAAGAAGATCTCTTTATATAGATTCCTTCCTCTCCTTGCATCTCAAAGAATCACTGCTGTTTTCTACTCTGTATGGGGACATTATCCTTCAAATAAGACTCAAAAATATGCCAGCTGCTCAGAACTGTGGACATTTCCAGCCATGTACATTAAAGAGGAACAGAAGTAGCAGAATAAAGGAAAGATGACTTTTTCTGGACATTGGTTAAGTAACTGTAAGGCTGTTTCATTCCCTTGGAATGTGCTAAACTATATGACAAGTTAGAGAGCTACTAGCTCTCAAATTACAAGAAATTATACCTGTTTGGAGGCCAGAGGAATGGGGAGCTGACTCAACTTCTACACTATGATCATGAAGCTTAAGATTGCCACCTCCTCCCTGGTAGCATGTCCTGCCTCTCCTATCTTGGTTATATTAGCTGTGGACTGTCAGATTTCATAACTTGGGTCTGAGAGATAAATGTGAAATGTCATTACTCCTGGTTCTCTTGATGGGCACAAGAGAGAAACAATAAATAGTGTACTTAACACACAGGTACCTGTGAGGCCTTAAAGTTCACAGCTCTTTTTTCTGTTTAACAGACACCTCAGGAACTTCAACAGAGCAGTGGCATAAGAGGCAAAAGCTCCATTTATTTGTTAGGCTGTGTATATCCTCTGAAAGTTAGCATCTCAGAAGACAATGCTTTAGTGAAGGCTTTCTGAGTTCAGAGAAGTCGTGGCCAATTCCAATAGAATGGAAGGCTCAGGGATTATTTTTATAAGCAGATAATTAAAAAATAGAATTTGGCCTGTCAGTTGGGCAGGGATGATGGTTGTGGCCTGAAGTGTGCAGGCTTGGATAGAACTAGTAGATATGTCAGGGTGAGGTGATCTCACCAAGAGGAAAAGAAGAAGTATGTTGGCTGGCCTGCATCAGAGAACCAACCTTGCACTCTGTGTCTGGGAGTGAATTAGTACCTATTACTCCTCATCCAAGTGTTCATCTGGTGGTGATAAAATTCCAGGACTTGAAAGAGCTTTGAAAGGCTACTGAGTCAACCCAATTATTTCTTAGAAACACCCAAATAGATGAATCTTTCCTTTCCTAATGAAATATTGCAACCGAGATTTCTCCAACCTTCTTAGAAAGCTATTCAAGTACACAACACCTCTTATTAGCAGGAAGTTTTGCCTTGGCTCTAATCTAAATCCTTTCTGATGCTCTTCAAATATAATTACTCTTTGCTCATCTTTGGCTAAGATGTGAGGTTCTGGCTAAGGTATTCAGACTCTCCAATGTCCCTGTTAGTAAGGGTCCTACCTCCCAGTCTAGGACAGAGGCCTGCCACTGGGCAATCTTGTCAATATTCTCCAAGCGCCGCTTGCGTTCATTGATCTGCTGAGTCACATTTCTCATGACAGCCAGAGCAGCTGCCACATACCTGTAGTCACTGTGAAGACACAAAATTACAAGTTGGATGAGTCAATGTGCCATTGAACCAATGTGCTGGGTGCCAACACTAACATCCATTCTCCTCTTCCTACTTAGCAAGAGAGCCCAGATTTTAGATAGAATCCATGCCACATGGTACAAAAGACTACATTTTCTATCCTTCTTTACAGTAAGAGGTGACTTATATGATCAAGTTCTGTCCAGTGATATGTAAATAGAAATGTTGGGTAGAACTTTTGAAAAACTACCTTTAAGGAAAACAGCATGCCCTTCTTTGGTCCTTACTTAAACCTGACGCTTAAGAATATTTAGATGTGATGGCTGAAGTTCTAGCAACCATCTTAGACCATAAGGACAAGGTCCATACTCCTAAGGATAGGATAAGAGAAAACTGGAAGGAGTCTCTGATAATCATGGAGCCAGCAAGGCAGCCATAAACTGCCTACCTGCAGGCGTTTTCTCTATGAAAGAGAAACAGACTCATCTTTGCTATGCCATTATTTTTGTACCTATCTGATACAACCAGCCAAGGATGAGGAAGGGAGCCTCACACATGGCATGGGCCAGAGAACTTTACCATCTGTTCTAGCACCTATTTCTAGGGAACTCTGCCCAAAGTCACTGTAAAATAACATCCAAACCTTTGCTCCTATACAATATAGAGATAGGATGTAGCATTGTGGTTAAGAACAGAGACTGGAGCCAGACTCCTTGAACACAAACCCTAGTTTAGTCACTGACTAGTGGTGTGGCCTTTGACAAGTCTCATTCTCCTTCTCAGTGACTCAGTTTCCTCATCTGTAAAATGGGGAGAATTACAGTAGAATTTGCTGAAGTTTTAATGATCCATGAAAACTGTTTTACTCTTGGCTCATAGCAAATGTCTGCAGTATTATTAATATAAAACAAACATTTCTCTAGTATAGACATTATATGGGTTGTCTCTCAAAACCTCTAACTCCAGAAGTACAATCCTAGGCCCCATTTTCCTGGGACTTTGGATGGCCCACTTGTTGAAGGTTATACCATCCTGCCCAGTTTTCTCTGTTTGTCTGATCTAATTTCCAGTCAAATGGCTCCTGTGAAAAGAAGATTGAAAGTTAGATCCCAGACATTTGGTGGAATAATTAGTTGAGAAGGCAGGAGGATGAGTTACAGTTCAGTCTTAACAAACTTTTCCTTAGAGAAGCTGAACATGCTTTGTGGTCACTAACATGCTCACTGTCCCTGCACCAATTTGAAAGAAGAGAAGAGAAAAAGAAGAGCAGGGCAACTGTCTTTTTCTTCCCTAATACATTGAGGTGTGGGGTGGTGGACCAATCATAGGAACAGAAGAAAGGGAGTTCTAACTGCTAGGGCAGATGAGACACAGCACCTCCTCTTAGCTGGCCTCCCTGGCTCCAGTCTGTTCTCTGCACACCTGCCAGACCATAGTCTTCAAACGTTACTACATTTTATCACCTACAGTGACAGGATACTCAGTACAAATCCTAACCAGTCTATTCTGTCTCAAGACAACTCTGTTAACACACACACACACACACACACACACACACACACACACACACACACAC